TTAACAATATCCAATGGCGACAAGCGACACATATTAGGCAATGCATCATTGTATAAATAATACAGTTTCTCTGTAATACTAACACGTGTACCACAGATGGTGTTATTACGGTGGTCTGAATAATACCAATTCGGTTTCTAATTTAAGTTAAGCGGATCAAGATTCACGTTCGAGGTCAAAATACGGGAGATATAACTTTGAATACGTAATTTATTGTCAATGACTACGTCACTTGACTCGACTCGATTAGTGGTTACAACCCCCTTCCACAACTTCGCAAATAATCCGTATTTCAATTCATGTGTTGCTGTATTCATGGGAAATATAAAAACAAAACTGAACACATCGCGATAGATGTTATATATTACCATATGTGTCATTTAATAAGCCCGTTCACAGGCACATGTAGGGATCCTTTCTCTCGCGTGTTGTGGGTTTCTCGAAACAGAATGTCAGTTTTCCAAAAATCAGCTAAAGCAGAGTGTGAACACTTTTGAATAAAGGTACTAATACTCTAATAGTATGTAGCATTTCATAGTTATCTTGAACGGCAAAGGAAGATGATCCTCGAGCCGCGTCGTTTTTTTTACATGGGTCCCACGCAATTCGCCACTGCGTACTATTCACCCAAAACAGTTATACTAGAGTATACCAAACGCAAAAGTATCAATCTAAATGAATAAATGGAAAGAAGATTACTGACTCCATAATTAACTAATCGACGGTGCGTGATGAATAATAACGACCCCTGCATGTTAATTGGCCGCTAAATATACCTAATATTGTCCAACAATCCGCTTGTTTAATTTCATTTCTTGGAACAGGGCTAATATTAGCTCGACCGCTTCTATAAAACGTTTTGACTGCTATTTCCTCTCCATACAAGGCAGCCATACATATATGTAATTGCTTCATCCTTTTTCTATTAGTAGCGGGTTTGAGTGGTCTAATCCCGTCTCTCGCTCTCACTCTCCGTGATTTGAATTTCCGCTTGTATTCTTCACCTGATCGGTCAAAGTATTGTCGAGAATGATTCGTCCACGCGCGACATTTTTCAACGTGTGTCTCGCGCAGGGTTTAATTAAGTACAATGTTGCCTTGGTAACAGGACGCGCTGATGAGGGTTATAGTCAGGAGAATAAATGTTGACAATGTGCTTGTATGAACTACGCATAATTACACGTGTGAAAGTGCGGCGACACAGTTTGTACTATTAAACAGTTTCGATGTATATTTCTACAGAAAGTAAGCAACCAGTCATTTACATATTTGAATAAATAATGCGGATTAAATGTGGATTAAGTATTCGTGAGCATGCTTAAATCATTCTGTTTGTTATTGTATCTTGATCGAAACAGTATCATTTATGGTAAAATAAACATGCTGCCTATGTCGTTTATATCGTAATGGAATGTGACACCATTATTCCGCGCTTCAATAGAATTACAAAGCAGACTACTAAATCCAAGAATCTTCAGTGGAATCAGCACAATAAAGTACTATCTATATATTGAAGGGAATACTTCATTTGTGTCCTGTAGCTCTATTGTGCACAGACAGGTTTACATATATAATTCAATGTATGCATGTGACTGAATGTCATATTAAATATTATTATACATCTGTCACCGTAACGCCATAAGTTACAGCGTGCCGTAATTTTGCGGTATTTTACGGGGTATTTTCATCCTACCATATTAGGAAATGCGAATTCCAAATATGAAATGATTACGCGCGTAAGCGTCCTAAGACAGTACGCCGCGCATCAGTCGATACTCCAGCTGTACTGTCTTCGTACATACTTTGAGGTATCCTCGTAATAACCTCATATTATCTATATATTGTAAAATCGCTGGTATGCGTAACCTCAACACTTTAATAATCACGTGTCCATTTGTCATACAATTTATCCTTTAAGACTTATCATTACAGTCTTTTAGTATGTTTTTTCGATATTCCCCCAATATAGAGATTGCTTATTGCTATCAATGGGTTTACAAACCATATTTTCAAGATAAACTTGATATTTCTTTACGTGAATTAATGGGTTGACACATGGGAACAAGTGGAACATCACCTTTTCAATTAGAAGAAATCTTTGCGTTTTTCTTTAAAATTTGATAAAATTAAACAATGTGCCGTTCGACAGTTTTCAGTAGTTTACCTATGCTAATAGGCGTTAAATCCAATGCCCTGTGCGTCTATTTTGATCTACCAACGTCGGACTAACTGCGAGCGAGATTGAATAAATTTAAAATGGCCGACAGAAATACCACGTGAGACCGAGAAACACAAATGGACGTCTCAAGCAACTGAGACGTGTAGAGGTGCAACCACGGCGATTTAAAACTATCTACATGTATTTCAGAGTTGTTTAACAGTTAAGAGCAATGGGTGTTCCCTTCACAACTGAATGTATAAAAAAAGCAGAAACTATGACACATTCTGTCACAACGCAATCACATTCATAATATACCTACTCACAACAGGAAATAAAACCCCACAAGAAAGTTTAACGTAAGCAAGCTTATAAAACAAATAATGTTTGACTACTATTTTGTCTGGGGTATGCATTTTGTTGCACAGTGATTCACATACAACGTAATGTTGACAGGAGGGTGTAACCGAATAAACGTATGTCGTGGAAATTAGTGTCTGTGGTTGAAATATTGACTGATTGCAATTGTCTTGGAACTGACTCCCTCCGTCTGACTGAGAATGGTTATCCAAGAATATTGGCCCTTAAAGGAACACAGAACTGTCACGGTGGATTTAGAGTTTATTACACGATCGTAATGTAATTTTAATCAAGTCTGAATACAAATTTTAACTTTCCTACCAGCCTATTTTTTTTAGCGATTTAAAAAAAATGGAAAGCAGACGACATTTGTCTCGTTTCCTATGGAGAGCCGCTGCTTGGGGTTCACTGTTCCAGTGACGTCGTTTATGAACAACCCTGATTGGTCAGTTAGAAGTACGCCGGAAACTACGATAATGGTCAGCACGTATCGAGTGACAATCGTTTATTTCAGGTTTGTTTTAGGCCGAATATATTTGTAATTGTAATAATTTCCATTGATTGAATTGGTTGCCCACGAGCAAATACCTAAGAGATTATTTCGCATTTTAAAGTAAAACAAATACAGATTAAATAATTATTAACAATATAAAAGAAATGACCAGATTGATGAGTTATTACGGGGGAAATCCCTAATTTACATTAATTGTCACATTGTGACCAATTAGCAACATACCATTCTCGAAAGCCAACAAACGTTACATGACACGAGACAACCGTTAACTCACGGCACAGATTATTAGATTACGCGTTTTAAACTTACTCACTGTGTTCCAAGGACTAAGTCGATTTGTCTTTAAGACATAGGTTATAAATGGAAATCCACCGATGCTAATCATAAAAAAATACATCCAAACAAATCAGGCGAGTCAGACGTCCATTGTGAATGAATTACTTGAGCGATTATGTACTTTCGCCTAGATAATTATTCTCTGTGAATAGGTGTACTCTAACAATCTTAAAGAAACTGCAAAAGATAGGGGCAACGCAAAGAATATGCATTGAGCGATGTTATAACCTACACCAAGAACGTATGTCCATTATGCAATAATATTTTCCAGGAAACTCGGAAATAATAAATTTTCCACATTTGTCTCAGGGAGGTTAATGTCAAGATATTCCGTCAAATTGCCTAGCAAACTACGCATGGACGAGATATGCCTAGCGACACGTAGTAATATATGGAGTTGTCGTAAACGAGAAAAGAACATATTGTGTCAATATTTGTAATTTTAATTAAATGTGTGTAATACGTTAGCGTCCGTCTAATGTTAATAATATGATTAAACGGTAGAATTAATTTTAGTCCATACTTCCCGCTGATAGACGTTGTCGTACGTCTTTGAGTTCCTTTTGAACAGTTAACAGGATTGTCGGAGAAGAATTCATGTTTCATCAAATTTGAAAGCGTACTTATTGTGGGTTATAATTAATGCTTGATGAATCTAACCCTGGTTTATTTTTTACTATTAACTTAACTATTAGCCATTGATGTTAGTTTTTTATTAAAAGTTTCCGGTGCAACGAAACAATCCTCGGTGTTCTATATGGTCTTTATGATTAATGCGCCATAATTCTCTCGCCAAAATAATTTTGGGCAACTGTTTGCACAGTTACTTGCTTTTTCCTATTGGATCAAATAAACATCGTGTTTATAAATTTTAATTTAAAATATGGAAATAATTACTTTGACAAAACTTGACTTGAAATTGTTACAAAATTGTCATTCATTCTTCGTATAGTGATTTGCTTTGATCATTGTGAAAGAGAATGATAAAAATGATCAAGGGGTCACGTGTCTGAAATCGGTTCAGACGATCATGCGTTCTGTGTAGATTCGTTATAAATATGAAATAAATTTGGGTTGTTGTTATCATATCTGAGTATCACTTCCTCTGGAAATATCCTGTTTTAGGCTATCACATTCTAAAATTCCAAAATCAAATTCCCAAATCTCGTGAATGTGCCATCATTTTTCCGGTGAAGAGAACAATCCCAAGAAGTCAATTAACTGGCAGATTGATTCATTGTGAAACGGCAAACGGGAGAAATAACCACATGTTGATCCAACACCCGAGGACAGATCCACGCCTGGTCGATCCGCGAACACGGCTTCCTGCCACTAATGAGTAATTCGAGTTTTCCTCCACAAATCCCAGATTAAACAAGGATCCAATTCACATAACTCTGCCGTGAACGTGATTATAAGTCGTGCAACAACAACAGTATCAACGCGACATGAAAACAAGATTGATGTGCTGGGACCGTGCGCGGGGAAATGCATAACGTGCATCGAAGCACACACTGAATAAAAGAATAAAAAAAAAAACGCAAAATATAGTTATTGAGCGTAAAGTACTCTGATTTGAAAATAAATAATCAACTTGTAACAAGAAATATTATAAGAATTATGTGACTTTACCATTGGTGTCTCGACACTTTTCTGGGAACCCATCCTGGTTCTTTTCATATTGCTTGTCGACATACTTAGTCTCTGCTACGCTCTTTTCAGAACTGTCCGATCAATACAGGAGCGTTGCGATTCAAAGTCTGTTTGTCGATAGACAACACAGTTTTTTCTTCCGGCATGGACCCGCGGGCTCACCTTTCTCACACGATGATGTCTTTTATATACACTGGTAAAGTCGTAGAACTTGGGAGAATCCATTTTACAACAGGTAGAAACGGGTGATAAGCTGGAACAAGTACATTTTCTAACGCCCACGTTGGTAGTGTCGTCAATATATTTGGATGTGTTAATTTTTCACGAAACTATCAGTGGAAGGCTTTGACAACGGTATAGTACATACGCACGTACGGATTTCATATGCGACCCTATTACTCGTGCGCAAGACTAGTATAATTAAAAAAACAACTATTTTAATAATAAAAAAAGGCAGGAAGATTAGCATTGAAGCAGAATAAACCCCCAGATGGAATTCCTAATATGGACGAGTGTGATCACGTGACTTCCACAATGACTCGAAATCGACGCAAGTCATTTTTAATATCCGTGCCATTGTGTATAGGTCACGTGATCCGGTATGAGTGACTTGTTGATTTAGTGAATATTCATAAGACGATGCCAAACTAAAATAAACACAGTAAATGTACATCAGTGTCAAATTGTATCCCAATCTCTGCATCGGAAATAAAGTCGTTCAGTATAAGTTAGCATATATAGTACTCATTTCTGTAAGCCAACATTCTTCATTAGGAAGTGGTGTTCGATATGGGACCCACGCGACCTATACAACACGGTATAATACATTCGAACGCGCAATACTGTTCTTTTAAAGGGCGGCAGTCGTCGTGTCGCGTCCTGTTAGATATGGGACTCATAGCGACGTATACAACGCGTGTAAAATACATTGTTTATTTACATGAAATTCGAACACGCGCTGCGCAACGACCACCGCGCTTTAACTATGTTATACAACATATCACCATAAAGAACATGAACGGATACGCGTCAAAAGATTACGTTTTGTTCTTATAGTTTTCATTTTTTTTTCTCCTAGTAATAATAAAATAAAAAAGACAATCGATTTTAGGATCATCGTTCAACTTTTCACGTAATACTTTACAGTGACCAAAAATCTAAGCGACCCGAACTTGAAATTCACCCTATACATAAGTACTGACACATAGTACTCGAAACAACTCTGAAATCCGCCGCTTATATTAAACCTTCTTCTCGATAACGTAGATAACTTGTCCAGTAAGAAATTATCCATTAGGAATTGTGGGCGAGGAGATGCCAATTCATTTGTTTCCTTCAATTAATTTCAAAGTTCTGCTAGAATTGTTTCAGAACGATGTTGCTATAATTTACTGTGGCTGTTTTTTTCTTTATCAAATATGCATGTGTGTGCATGTTTATGATTGTTTTTGTTTTGGTAATGTTCCCTGTAGATTTTTTTTTTAATTGTCTGGCAATTTTTTTTTCAAAATCAATTATGTCCTAATAACCGATGTCATGTGATCCGCAATGTCATACAACAATAACATCGTTGGCGACAACCTCAGCCCTTTTATGTCGTCTAGACCTGACAAACCATACGTGAGCGGAAACAAATCAATATTGCCAGC